CAGGGTGGGGTTGGGGTGCATGGAGAGGGCTGAGGTTTTGGGGGGCTGTAGGAAAGGGTGGGGTTGGGGTGCACAGAGGGGACAGGGTTTGGGGGGGCTGTAGGGTGAGCTCTGAGGTCAGGTGTACAGAGGGGGTTTGAGGTTTTGGGGGACTGTAGGGGAGCTGGTTGTGTTTTGGGTGCACCGAGGGTACAGGGCTGTAGGGGAGCAGGGTGGGGTTGGGATGCATGGAGGGGACAGGGTTTGGGGTGCTGTAGAGGAGCTGGGTGGAGTTGGGGTGCACAAAGGCAGACGGGGTTAGGGGGCTGTAGGGGGAGATGAGTGGGGTTGGGGTGCATGAAGGCGGATGGTTTGCGGGGCTGTAGGGAGAGCTCAGTGGGGTCGGGTGTACGGAGGGGGTCTGAGGTATTTGGGAGCTGTAGGGGATCTGGGTGGGGCTGGGGTGCATGGAGGTGGACAGAGTTTGGGGGACTGTAGGGGAGCTGAGTGGGGTTAGGGTTCACGGAGGGGGACAGAGTTTGGGGGAATACGGGGAGCTCGGTGGAGTTGGGTGCACGGATGGGGTCTGAGGTTTTGGGGAGCTGGGTGGGGCTGGGGTGCACAGAAGGGGGCTGAGTTTGGGGGACTAGCGGAGCTGAGTGGGGTCCAGGTGCAGGGGAGGGGGGCGGGGTTTTGGGGGGGGTTTAGGGGAAGCTCAGCAGGGTCAGGGGTGCACAGAGAGGGACTGAGGATTTGGGGAGCTGGGTGGGGTCGGGTGTGCGGAGGAAGGCTGAGGGTTTGGAGGGTTGAAGGGGGAGTTGGGTTGGGGTGCATGGAGGGGCTCTGAGGGTTTGGGGGATCGGAGGGGGAGCCCAGTGGGATTGGGTGCATGGAGGGAGGCTGTGGGGGGGAGTTGGAGGGGTCAGGGTACAGGGAGGAGGTTTGGGGGGCTGGGAGGGGTCGGGTCCGTGGAGGGAGATTGAGGGTTCAGAGGGATGTAGGGTGGCCTGGGAGGGGTTGGTGCATGGAGGGGGACTGTGGGTTTGGGGGAGGTGAGGGCTGTTGGTCACAGTGTATGGTGCAGGAGGAAGAATGGGGGGAAATGGGGTGGGTGGAGGCCAAGCGCCATTGGTGGGTGGTTGGTATGGAGGCCTGTTGGAATGGGGCAGGGCTGCTCACTGAATGTCTGGGATGCAGCCCTGACATGATCAGGTTCTCTCTGTCCCCACGTAGCTTGGTGGGGAGCTGTGCAGAGGAGCACAGTCTTGGGGCTGCGAGAGACATGGAAGGACCTTTTCCTGTGGTTCCCCCCTCTGGAAGGGATGCGTGCGCCTACGCTGCGGCTGAGCTGCTGCCTCAGCTTGAGAGAGGCTGCCACATCCCAAGTTGCTTCTTATTGTACCTTTTCACTTATCTTTTGTCCCTACTTCCCCAGCTTCCTCCATACCATGCTATACCCTGAGGCTATGTCTACACTGGCGGCTTCTTGCGCAAGAAAACGTCCACAGTGCCATGTGCAAGCTGTGCTTTTGCACAAGAGCGCCCATCGCAGTGTGGAGGCTCCATAGGACTTTCTTGCACAAGAAACCCCTGCCGAGCATCCACACTGCCCTGTTGCGCAAGAGAGCTTACACCTGTTAAAAAATAGCGTAGCTCGTGCGCAAGAAGCCCTCTCTTACCATGCCGTACTGTAAATCTTCCGCAAGAGAGGGTGGGCAGTGTGTTCGCTCTGCAGATTCTTCACAAGAACGGCTGTTCTTGCACAAGAACCTGCCAGTGTAGACGTAGCCTGAGACTAAACACAAAGGTATAGGTGAGATAAGTGACTCCCACACACATAACTGGATGGGACCACTTGTCTGTGCAAGCCATGGAAGCTACTAGTTCTGGAGGCAGCATGTTGTGACAAGCGTCAGAGGCTGAAACACCACACGCGTGGAAACAGAATGTGTTATTTGTAAATCAGATCCCAAAAGGGCAGTGTTCTCTTGAGACATCTCTGGGTCCCTGTGAAGACACTTGTGTAGTGTGGTCTTACAATGAAGGACTGTCACAAAGAAGGCCTTGCAGTCTTATTTCAGAATGCTTTGGTGTATCCTGTTGCCAGATTAAGAGGTGAGAGAGGTCTATGGTGCCAAATGCATGTTGGTAAGGCTAACTGTCAAATATTGGTTCCATTGGTATTTAGCTCGCAGTAAAAGACACTCATTGGGTTCTGTATATGAATGGATTTATCAGGGATGGCCATTTTCACTGGGATCAGTGTGCAAGACTCTCAGTCTGGCACTCTTCTCTCTAAGCATGCAGCCTTATTGAGAAAATTATAACAGTCCTTAGGCTAGTTTTAAATGTTCAGAGTTCTGGACAAACACAAATGTCAGGCTAGTTTTTATTACTGAGCTTCATAGGCTCTGAAATAATATGTATTGAACTAGGTAGGCCTGAGAAGCTCTTGGTATAGAGGGACGCTTCATCAGAAGGTTTTAGGCTGGAGGAAACCATATGTTGAAAGCACAAACTTAAAAGCAAAACAGATTGATAGTTAAAAATAAAATTGGCTTGGAAGTGGTCAGAATTATTTCCCCCTCTTTAGAATTCATGTAAGAGTAAAAGCCTGGACTCCTAATTTTTTTCTTGTTCTGCTTATGATTTGATATGACCCTGGAAAAGTCATAAACAAGTTAATGTTTGTAAAGAACTTTAAGAATACTGAATGAAGAAGGATACATAATTTGAATTTTACTTTAAAAGAGGTCAAATCCATTTCCTTCAAACATTGTGAACAAAATTGTCTCTTAGGCTGAGACATTGTGCAAAGTTTAGTCCTTCAGTGAATTTTGAATACTAGGTTATGAGCCTCAAGTTGCTTGTGGAAATAAAAGGATTTAGAACCTTAACTAGATCTATCTGTGCCATATAAATATTTTTTCCAAGGACTGAAAATATATTTTCCTT